TCTTTTTTTTCGTCCGTTCGCATTAGATTTGGAGTCTGCGGAGGATGTCATCCATAAAATTTACTCGCTGTGACCTAAATAAGCCATCTGAGTGGAGGTTACCAAGAGCAGGCAAGCCTGTGAAGGAGTACATTCATCTCACCTGACATTCTCTCCTTCTTTCCCTCTTATCGTTAGATCAGGAACACGACATGTGCCTAAGGGCAGTGTGTACGATCCCATACCTACCTGCACATGTACATTAACACTAGCTTCTCTGTGACTCTGTCAACAGTTCAGTTTGTTTGCCTACAAACAGGCATTGTTTACCTGTGGACTTAAGGTGCATTCCTCCAGGTGAAACTCCATCAGATCACTTTCACTTAAACGCCCCGAGGTAAACACCTTGGACAGGTTTGGCGTTTGGCAGGTTAACTGTGTGAACTGTTCCATTGTACCATTCCCAAGACCCTATTGCCCCAGTTAACAACAGTCGCAAACTTGAAAGCACGATGCAAAAACTAAGAGAATAAAGTGTAATGTTGGAATTTCGTGACTTGCAGGGCTATATGCACCAAAATAGAGAGTTTGGTCAAGAAATGATGACGTACTTTAATGAGCTGCTGAGTTTGACTAATTGGCCACCAAAGTGACAATCAAATTATTGCTTAGGCCACACCAAATTTAATTTGTTGGTTCTCGGATTCGCCTCTTCATTTTTTTCTGATTTGCAAAAAAAAAACAAGATTCTGGTTCTGAATCAACTAAAAATGCTCATTATTTGCCACCAACAGTTGAGGAAAGCCCTTTTCTTTCTAGTTTTCAATCTATCAATGCAGTGGTTTGATTGAAAGTTCAAAATTCATTGTTTAAATTTTAACCCAGCTTTTTGTGTTGACTTCATGGTTCCTATAAAAGCATTTTGGGCTATAATAGGATGCCTAGACCTGTTTTTATTTTTTCGCCCTGTCGCTTCATATTTTTTTCTGAAAAAATCCGAGAACCAAAAAATTAAATTGGTGTAGCCTTAACAGTAACCAGTACCATGCATTGGCTGTGTGAGGTTGTGAATATTCTGACCACTGAACGACCAATAATTTGACAGAACGCTCAACAAATTTTACAGACAAAACACCTGTCTTTATTGCATTTTGTATTTTCTGATTTGTCTTAAATCATACTTAAATCTTGTATCATAATCCAAGTATGAGAGGGCCATACAATGAATTAATCATTTCTACTTACAGAAACAGAGGAGAATACAAGAAAAAATTTTGCCCAATATTCTCACCCCTTCCTTGATCAACACATTTAAACTTAACTGTGACTAAGCCGTGAAGAATATGGGGCAGCCTCTTAGAAACAACTTGAAGCCAAGGTCCATCAAGGTGTCAAGTGTTTTACAGAAAGGGTCATATTACTGCAGGTATCACCATGTGCCTTCTGAAGGGCATACAACAGGAAAGTTAAGTGTTTAATTAAGGAGTGCTGCTTGGATGCAATTTACTCTCCCTAAAATTTGGTACACTAAGAAGGATCAATCAACTTTGTGTATACCATGCTCGTAGCCAGAATTTTGAATGGGGGGGGTTCTTCCAACTGCTTGAGGGGACCTCGAGTGCCGTAGGCGCGAGGTTCCTAGGGGAGCCCCGGAAAATTTTGAAAAATGAACCTTCAAAAATGAACCTTCAAAAATGATAAATTTTTATTCAATGACAAAGGGAGCAGTTTTTCTATGATTCCAGTCCATCTTTTCAAGAAAAATCTTGGACCTTTACATAAAAAGTGGACCAAAAAGTGGTCACCTTTACATAAAAAGTGGACCAAAAAGTGGACCTTTGAGCCTTGTGGGGGGTTCTTCCGAACCCCCCCTGGCTACGGGCTGGTATACATACATAGATCCCAAACTTGAAGATCAAAGCAGCAAAACACTTAGCAAAAGCTGAGAAAATGTTGTGTGTACAGGGATTCGGAAGATAATCCCGGATAAGACAAAATCCTTGTCTTCACACCCAGAGAACTCCTTCCTGGTTTAGTATGTCCAACAAAGCTGCTTTTTACATTTCACAGTCACAAAATCTACTCAGGTGGACCAGATCACATGACCAGGAATGCTGTTGTTAGAGCATACCTGGGAGATTACCCGATAAGCTGTTTATGACTGGACAGTTACCCTCTGTTCATTGAGGGCCTGCATGGGGGAGGGGGGTCCCGACATACAACGCTCTATGCTAAATTTTGAGAGCCTGCTGAATTCAAGAATCCTCCGGATCCCCATTACATTTTACGATAAATTCCGGCCAGCTACAAAGCATTTACATAGAATCAAAACGGCGAATTACGCTCTATGCAAAATGCACCAGTTACGCTCTACATGTATGTTGAATTACGTTCTATGGAAAAGGGCATGCGGGCCCCCTTTCATGAATCTCCACCAACATATTAACTTCAAGTGGATTTTTCATGAAGCATGTACTCTTGTCATGCATTTCATGGATGTATACAAGTAAGCAGTATAAGTGCACAGATCTCGTGGTGTAGACAAAATATGGAGAGGTTGTGAGTTCAGAATGAGACACTTGAACAAACCTCCTACAAATTTTGTTGAAATAAGCCTTCTTGTAATTCTTCTGCAGCACACTGTGATGCAAGGAAGCTAGAAAAATGTTTTAGAACATCAATTCTTGTCAGCTACTTTTGACCAATCATGGCCATCCATCTAGTGTTAATGTCAAGCCTAGTCAAACTGTTTCCTTGCTGCTGATTGGCTAGAGAATATTGAAGGTATCATGATAGGAAATGAAGTGATTTAAAAGGACACTCATGGTCTGAAAGGATAGATATTATCCAGAACAGCTACAACAAAGGGACAGAAAAACTCCAGACAGAAATCTAAGTGACCCAGAACAAATGAGAAACTCTGGGGCTGATTAAGAAAACTAAATTTGGGACAAGAATAAATCATTGGGACAAGTCCAGCTTGTGTCTTGCACATGTTCCCTACTTCTGGCTTATCTTAGTGCAAAGCGCCTTTGTCACATAAATCAGCTTTGCAAGCAGACAATTACTCAATCCTTATGCCACACTAATGAGGAACACCCCCTGGCAAGTTGGAACAGATATGATGATTAGAGCACCACCCAAAGTTAATGAACCTTATCATAACGAAGGTCAAATATTTCATGGTCTGAGTTCACCGACCGGCAGGACATGTTAGGATATTGTGACTAAACACAAATAGCAGCAAGTTCTGGCTGAAAGATTCGGACATATCATTGAACAAAAAAATCATGACTTCTAGCCAGAAGAAAATTAAAACATTACAAGGCAAATTGAATCATAGAATAATAGCTTTAAGAGTCACCTTACATTGACCAAAAACATACAGCTGCATCTGATTTGCATCCTTACCTAACAAGACAGCCCATACATGTATCACTTAAAATTCTGATAATATCCGTTAATGTATCTTACTTCTATGCCAAGAGAAATGACTGGAAATCAATCTTTTGAATCGCTGGAAATATCCAAGCTATATTTCAAGCTACATCTTTGGAAGTCATTTAACCATTACCAATTGAACAACAAATCATTTTCAAGTTATCAGTTCAATCTTTATGACACTTCTGCTGATAACTCAGGATGTACATGTGACCCTTTGACGTTTCTATGCACTTGTAGGAGTTCTTGTCTAAACAGCTCAGCACCATATATAATTTTACACATAGCTTTTCATGAGCTCAAACACAGATTTACTGGATAACACTTCACTGCATACAAATTTTAGTTAAACAGAATTACCATGCAATTATTGGTTTTAAATATGACAGGACACAGGAAAGCACTGAATGGATGTTGACAGTCATATGGTCAGCAGAAACTGAGCTGTTTTATGTCCATTCTGATAGGGAGACTGCTTACATAGCCCAGGTTTGTCCTAATTCTTGGGCTTTGGGGCTGTTTCCAGGAGCATCAGAAGAACCAGAAGTGACTGGTAGGTCATTGAAGAGGCTGACTAGCAAGTTAGAGTGACAAAGGCCTGTCCTCATTTCGCATCATTGTTTTTTTATGTAACATCTGTGTCCATAATATCACCAGGGTCCATAATATCGCCACCTTGAGAAATAGTGTGCTTAAAGATATTTTTACTGCAACATACCCTAGGTATGTACATTTGATGTGTGAAGGAGTGCATACCAGAAGTATGTTGCAGTAAAAATATATTTAAGCACATTATTTCTCAAGGTGGCGATATTATAGACCCTGGTGATATTATGGACACAGATGTTACATGTATATCCTTATGGAGCTCTAACACTGGAAACAAACTACAGTATGAAAACAGTCTGAGAAACTTGTTTATGGCCTCACACCAGTGTTTGGTTTCAAGAGTGAGGTCTCCATGTGTGAGACCATGTTGTCTACAGGATATTGGGATTTTCGTATTATACACAACCAGGTATTCTTCCTACCTTGCTTATGTTTTGAGACGAGGATGAGGGAGGATACAAACTTTGAAATTGTGTTCTTGCTGCAAAAGCGCCACCTACATCGGCTACATAGAGCGGCGAGAAGCAGTTATCCAGTCAGAAGCTCTGAGGAAGGCATCTGATTGACATCGAAATGTCAGCAAGGAACACCTGGTTGTGTACAAGAAAATCCCAATATTCTGTGTTCTACCAACGTGTTGAAATTACTCTCTCATGTTCTCTACAGTTTGATGCAGAAAAGTCTGAGTTACCGTGCGTAGTCCAGTGGTTAGCGATCCTGCCTCTGGACTAAGAGGTTGGGAGTTCGCTCACCCGACATGCACGCTATACTGTTTAGGGTCGCAGTCCTTAGGACGGGACGTTAAGCCGTGGTCCACTGTTCATTGCACTTGTCGAAAACAGCTAGGGGAATTTTCCCGGTACAATGAACCTGTAAATACTGTACGTACATAGCGTCTGTCTTCTCTGTCACGACCAGTGGAAGATTAGCTCTTCAATGAGCTACACTGGTTCGAGATCACTTTCACTTACCCTTTGGCAGCGTTATCTGGCAGTCCAGGTCCAGCCCGTGTAGTCGCGCCAGGCTCACGTCCCGCAGAGCTCGCCGTTCCTCCTCGCACAGGTCCGACATGCTCGTGGTGGCCACCTGCACGCAGCGACCGCTCATACTGTTCCATCTGCAGTTTCCCTAAAGTGCGAAAAACAACACAATTTCAGCTTTTTTCATAACTGTACAAAATAACAACTGTGTACAAGTAAAGTGATATTACATGTACATTGTATGTGAGATTTTTGCGCCAAAACTGTAAATATATAAGGAATTGAAATTTTCTCATCTAGATTGTCAATATCAGTAACTTTCAACATATCAACGTTGCTACTTCCAGCAACTCAGCACAGCGCAAGAATAAGTTGCACCAGGCCCGCTATATTTTTAGGAGGCTCCAAAAAAGATTGTTAACAAACAGCGGTTTTCATTCCAGCATCTTCGGCAGTTTCCAACAGACTTTTGCGCCTCAACAAAATTAATCTTTTACTCCCCAAATGTCATTATGAACCCTTATAGCGCAAGAAAAAGTCTAAAACAATGGTGTTTCAAATAGTGAAAATCTTACATAATATCACTTTAATGACCGATAACATTTGGCAGGTTAAACACCCTGTAATAAATAAAAAGTGGGCTAATAGGAAATTGATTAATGACTGGACAACACACTTGGCGCCACAAAACCTGTGCTGCCAGCCAATATCATTTCTGTTTGTTTGTATTGTCTCTGTCAGCTGACAACAAGGTGCCCCATTAACCCTGATGCGTTGCCTAGGTTAGTTGTGCTATGTTGGGAGGGAACATTCTCCGCATGTATCACTACATGTATCAGTTACAGTACTGAATGCCCCTCATAACTGTGAACTGAACTTACCTAGTAACATTGACAGAAAAAAAATTTCAATGTTCTAACAATGACTGGTTAAGAACATCGTTTGAAGTCTGTAACATCTATTATGATAATGATCCATGAACTGATTGATGTAATCAATGATGTCTCAATAAAAAGATACATAATCAATTGAATGATGATTGTCATGACCACAATATGGTTTCCCACTTAACAAAACTGACTTTTGATGACTGGCATTAAAGCCAAAGTCAGCTGCATCTACTTTGTAGTTAAAATATTATGATAACGCCACACCAATTTAATTTCTTGGTCAACGGATTCGCCCGCTTCATTTTTTTCTCTTTTGCAAATAAAAATAAAAATTCAGAATCAACTGCAAAATGCTTATATTTTGCCCTGAACAGTTGAAAACAGTCCGTTTCTTCCTAGTTGTTACAGTCATTCCATCTTTCAATGCAATGGTATTATTAAAAGTTAAAAATTCATTGTTTAAATTTTGAACCAGCCTGGTGTGTTGACTTTATGGCTCCTATCGTACCATTTTGGGCCATAATAGGATGCCAAGGCCTGTTTTTATTTTTATTTTTTTTCGCCCGCCCGCCCCATTATTTTTCTAGAAAAATCCGTTAACCAAGAAATTAAATTGGTGTGGCCTAAATAAATCCTTGAAGTGTCGGCTTACCCAACCTTCTCTGTCTGAAGGTTTGGTCACCTTTTCTTTCTACACTGGTTCAAATGAATCTAATAGAGAAGCCCTAATACCTCAATAGGCTAACTGGGCCAAGGTTTCAACAAGCTCTGAAGTCTGTTCAGTGATACAGACCAGAACCTCCTGCAAATGTCACTTAAACCTATAATTCATAACAGCTAAGGCCACACCAATCTAATTTGTTGGTTCTCTGTTTTTTTTCAGGAAAAATATGTGATCTGGGCCACATAAAAAAACACCCCATGATATGCCCCAAACTGTGAGGATACGAAGCCATGAAGCATTTTGGAGTTCATTCAGACTCGAGAATTAGAGCCTAAAATCTTAATTTTTTTGGCAAATCAGAAAAAAATTTAGCCTGGGTACCATCCTACTTGTATGCCGGGGCTCCCACACTCGCTTCCCTAACAAGTACTTGTTAGGGAAGCGAGTGTGGGAGCCCCGGCATACAAGTAGGATGGTACCCATGCTAAAAAAAATTAGAGGCGAATCCAAGAACCAGTTGATTGAACTGGTGTGGCCTAAGGCAACTTTCATGCAAAATTTAAGGTTGCCTACATGTCTGTTGTTTCCAAAAAGGGCTATTTCTTAAACATTGTAGTTAAGTTTTGTTACACATGTGAGGAAAAAAATAAGATCATGTCTATATATAGTATAACCATTTTTTTTTCATGTCAACATTCAAGCACACACACACCCCTTCCAATGTCCAAATGGTCCGTTCCCGTTTGTTTAAAGTTTACACTATCCAGGATCAGTGGTATGCTGTCCTTCAGCACCAGTAATAACTCTTCCCTCTTACATAACTAGGACTGTACCTTCCAGGCCACACTAATTTAATTTCTTGGTTAACGGATTCGCCCGCTTCATTTTTTTCTGATTTGCAAAAAAAAAAAACAATTCAGAATCAACTGCAAAATGCTCATATTTTGCCCTGAACAGTTGAAAACAGTCCTTTTCTTCCTAGTTGTTACAGTTATTCCATCTTTCAATAAAGTGGTATGATTAAAAGTTCAAAATTCATTGTTGAAATTTTGAACCAGCTTGGTGTGTTGACTTCATGGCTCCTATCATACTATTTTGGGCCATAATAGGATGCCTAGGGAGCTAAGCTGGGTTACGGGAATTGGAGAGTTTCCCGTGCGGGAACTGTGCCACAGAGGGGGAGAAATTCCCGCGTACGGGAATCTCTCCACCTAGCAGTGCCGAGTCCCGTGCGGGAACTTCACCACTCAGGGCTACCACGGAGGTGGAGAATTTCCCGCTTACGGGAATCTCTCCACCTAAAAATGGTGAGTCCCGTACGGGAACTTCACCACTAAGGGCTGACCGTGCGCGCACGTGTTTTGGGGCCGATATACAGACGGGAATTTCACCATATTACACGAACGGGAATTGGACCATTTTAGTCTTCATTTTCGCGTACTTGAAAGCAATGTCCGTCCGCGAACGCCGTACGGGAACTTCACGGCCGATATACAGACGGGAACTTCACCACATTACACAAACGGGAATTGGACCATTTTAGTCGACATTTGTCGCATGGGAAATTGACCAGTTATACTACGAGTGCAACCAATTTTCGATTGAACCGGATTTGAAATCAAAATTGGGTTCGAACAACGCCCCTGGCTTGAAGCAAATTCTAAATACGTCGAGTGATCGACGTTATCAGGAGTGCGTCTTCTATGGACATTTTTGAGCTGTAATAATACTACTAGTAGTCTTGAAACTCGGTAGAAGACACGCACCTAAAGGGCCTGTTATACTACGGTAAAAAAAAATGCCCGAAGAAGACACTGTGACTCGTAATTACGAGTAAGTCTTACACGGACAGTCTTGTTGATAGCGTAGTTGATAGCAGATACCGGCTCCTCAACAACGACCACAAAATGTTTGTCCTCATAAACATAATGATGTGTGTCACCCTCACGCTATACAAATGTCACTTTTCGGCTATTCTCATTACATACTCAGGACGCTAGTACTAGTACCGGGGTAGAAAAATATGGCGGCCATAAACAAAACGACGCTATCCCGTCATGCATTATATCCGCTAGGCGGGAGATCTGAGTATTACGGCTGTAGCAAAAAAAAAAGCAAGGCTAGGGGTTAAGTATTTTAATTATACCGTTTGTGTTTCGAGTTTTGTTAGTTTTCTGACTTGTACTTTGTTCTGTAGCGCTGATTTCCTTTTGCAATGACGTTATATATAGCCTCGTTGGAATAACAATTTTTTTGGAATAACAATTTTTTGTACCGATAACTGACCGTAAGTTTAGTCTTGGCTCCTGAACAGTAAAAACAAATCATGCGTCCTCACAACGTGTCCAGGCCCGACCTGTTTACAACGCAATGATGTATCAACAGCTATATTTTCACACTCGTCCGGCCGGGACGCTTACTACTACCATGGAGGTAGTCTCTTTTTCTACCTCCATGCTGCTACTAGTATATCATGTGCATGAAAAGATGGCGACCATAACAAAAAGACGCTATTCTGTCATGCATTATAGTATATCAGATTGGCTCGAGACCCGAGTGTTACAGTTGTGTTGTAGTCTATACGACTTTGGTGAACGAAATCAGACAGCTTTGATTTCTATTTCAAATTTAGGTGGTGTAAGACAAAAACTTGTACTTCTTGTTTTTTCTTTCAGATTCAAATCGTCAGGATCAAGGTTAAGACCGTGCTGGGTAAACCAGTTCGCCGAATAATTTTTTACTCCGTTTTTTTTCATTTTACGTTGGTTTCCAGTTATAACGTTTGCTTTTGTTCAGTTTTGTTCCACTTTTGACTTATATGTGGCGTTGATTCCCTTTTTGTCACAACGTTCATGTTCCTCATTAGTTTACTAACATCCGATTTTAAAAGTAACAGTTACCAACTAATAACGTTACTAGTAGTCCATCACAACTTTCAGACAAGTTATGTTCAATCTAAGATAAAATTACTGAGTATGCTACTCTTAGTGATTACACATGATACTACTATTAGTTGGTGTTATATCCGTCTTCAGTAGTAATTTTTTTCAGTTCAATTTTGATGAATTTTACAGACTTACGAGCCGAAAGATTTGCGGCGGTGGGGACGCCAGGTTTCCCCGCCAATAACACAACACCGGATGCAGTGTCAAGTTGGAGATTATAGCGATTTCTTCGTGGCTTCAACACATGCTTAATAGAACCTGCATAATTACACATTTGTATTTATGTTTAAATGGTTGCACTCGTAGATATGTAGTGATGTTATATGTTGTTACACCGGAATAAACATGGCCGCCGTTGACCTTCTATTGTTCTGCCGAAACAACTGATGCTATACCGCCATGCATTGCGAAGCACACTCGTTCTTTTGGACCGGATTTACAGTTTCTATACGATTTCTTGAGCCGGCGGACACCCTAAGGTAAGGCCGGAGTGATACGATTCCGCTAAGAGAAGTATGTCGAAAATATCGTATCGATGAACAAAGATTTCCAGCTGACTTCCCATAGAATTTTGGGCATATAATATTGTTAGTTGCCTCTTCAATGCATTGGGGTAGACACTGTAAATTTTAACCCTGAAAAAAT